GAATAACTAAACGAAATAGCAGTGATTCATCAGAACATAATTACTGTAGGCGTCAAAGCCCAGTGTGCTTCTGTGTGCACTGTGTATGTGTGTGAATGCAACATGCGTCATCACATGAAGGGTCGCACAGCGTTACTGCCCCACATCTGCACTGCAATGTATATATATATATATATATGATGTGGATGGTGAGTGTAGGCAGAGGAGGTCATCGCTATTCCTCAGGCGCTGGGATGAAGAAGCTCAAGTCATGAGTTTAAATGTTTCCCTGTCTGTGGCTGGTTATAATCTGACAAGAGAATGAATTATAAAGTAAATAATTAGCATATCTACACTTTTTAAAAACATATCTGTTGGTGTGGAATAAATTTAAGGCAATTACTTCAGTCTGAAGGAAAATGTTTACATTTTAAAAAATCTCGACTTGTATATTTGAAAATTGTTCTTGAAAACATGACTGCTTGGACTGGACAGAGTGTTATGATTGCAAGGATGCCACGTCATTTGGTGGAAATTCAATTTATCAACCTACAGAGGACTGAATTCAAAAACACCTCAGAAATCAAAGTGTAAAAATTAAGGTTAGTCCATTTTTTCAAAACTTGGTACTCAGATGCAGTAGTTTGTTGTCACAATGTGCTTATATATGCCCGACCCTTGTCAGGGCATGCTCCTAATGAGACAATGGATGGTGTCCTGGGGGATCTCATACCAGATCTGGGAGGCATCCCAGAGGTGTTCTGTTGGATTTAGGTCAGGGGAGTGTGGGGGTGAGTCAGTGGTATCAGTGCCTTAATTCTCCAGCATCTGCCTCCATATTTTCACATGAGGCATTGTCATGCACAGGTAAGAACCCAGGACCCACTACACCCACAGTCTAGGGTCTGACAATGGGTCCAACAATTTTATTCCTAATATCTCTATAAGCCACAGAAAATCACTGACCCACCACCAAACTGGTCACGCTGAACAATGAACAAGCGTATTGTTTCCATGGCTTCTCCAGACCTTTGCTCATGATTAACCTGCCTCATGTGACACTGACTCTAACCAAATGAAAAACTAGTGAAGAAAAAGTCAGAAATGATGAGGAGGTGGGTTGGCGGGCTGTCTCCTTGTTGCCCCACACCTAGTGATAATTTCATAACACCAAAAAAGATTAGCAACCCTCTCTGCTACTCGATCAGATCAATATTCCAGACGTTTAACTGACTTGATGCTATACTCAGATTAAAACCAATTTCTTTCATTTTTTGAGAAGTGTATAAAAGAGGAATGGAAAATTCAGCTCTGAACGGTGAGGTCAATGTGGAAATATCGTTAACCTGTATTCTTTTTGATGGCCAGCAGGGGAAACTCCGGTGGATGTTCTTGAAAGTCTAATTGTGTAAAAAATAGTCCCTTTTTTATGTCATCCGTGAACTAGTTTTTAATTTTCCTGATAATTTTACGGTCTCAGTCGGTAGTTTTAAGCCTTATTTAATACCACACGGTGATCATTTTGTAAATTCTAATCAATTTTTTGAGAAAAAGAGTAAAGCAGGATGTGATGTAGTGTGCAACAGGCTTGCAGCATGTTGTATTCTCAATTTCTCAGATAGATCCATATAAACAAGTCTCTGAAAACTCAAAAAAGAAATATTAAATAAGTATAAGAATGAAGAAAATGCAATTAACCCAAGACAGCAGTCAAACTCATGTTTATTTTCTTCTGCAAATTAGCAAATCTAAATATAGTTTTAGTTGAACATGTGAAAATATTTTTTTGAGATGTTATGTTCTAAGTAGAAGGCATTGTATACATTTTTGTTGTTCAAATTTAGATGATGAGGATGTAAACCCGAGGGGGTAGGGCTAAATAAGTATATACTTCTGTCTACTCCTTTTCAAACAACTGTATGGAATGATTTTATGAAATGTTGGTGAATGTATGTGTTTTAAATAAAAAAGAACTGAACTAAAAACCAAAATAACAAACTTCAAGCTTCAAAATGTGTGGCATGGTGTCTACATGTGTCTTTAATATAGTATTTTTTGTTTTGACTAAATGAAAAATTTAAATGGCTTGCTCTACCTCTGCCTAAACATTTATTTTTGAAATCTCTAAACTCATTTTGTGTTTTTCCTTTAAACATGTACTGTAAATGCAATAAGTCTACTTTACAGTTGTTTTTGTCCATTTGATAAGCAAATATGTTGAATAAGCAAAGAAATAGATGGATAGATGGAATTAAATGATTAGGATGTTGGTGATTTTTCTTTGGCTTTGGCTAAAACGTTTTTTGAATTTTGTTTTTTTCGGGGAGGAGAACAATTCCTCTATAGTGTAAAAACCCTGCTTTGCTGTACAGCAATCCATCAGGGATTGTTGGATTTGTAAGGCAGGATACAGAAAGCTGAGATTACAATGTTTGTTATCTTAACCTTAGTTTCTGCAAATATTTGTAACTGTATCAGAAAAATTGAGCAATTTCTTATGTACAAACTGCAAATAAACAGTGCATGGCTTTGCACCAAACCCTCATCCAGCAACCTTCTCAAACCTCTGCTCAGCATTGCTACAAACACCCAGTGGTGCCATCGCCAGATCTCAAGTGATGGTGGTGAGTTTTCCCTCTTTAGCCTGTGGACTTAAGGCAACATGGAGTATTATCGATCAATGGTTTCTCATTAACTTAGTGGAGGTCTTATCATGTTTCTTTATGAACGTGGTAAAACTGATTCTAATCCAAACAACTGATGCAGTTAGACAGTAAACCAAATTTGTTTTTTGCATGTAAATCTAAAGTTTTGAAACTTAAGAAAAAAAAATAGACAATTTTGGACTTTTGCATCACATTTTCCTCCTAGACATTAGGGTCCGAATGTGATTCAAACAGATCATGTTTGCAGTAATTCAGAACTTCTTGTTAGTGAAAAATGCAGTGGAGGACATTGAACTTGGCTTGTAATAATTTGGATAGTCGTCTTCATCTTATGTGAGTAAAACTTTCATTCATTCTACAATCAGAAGGGACAAGTTTGGCTAAAAACCTACAACACTGTTCCTTATCCAAATTCATCCCTGCCTGCCAAAAAAAAGGAGGAACAAACCCGCCTGCTGGTTTCATTAATGGATGATTAAACTGATTTATGATTATTTCATTTCCTAATGACATTTTTCATTAATTTCAAAATCCAGGGTTGAGGTCGACTCAGGTTCATTCCTCTCGGGCTACGCGGTGACGTGACTTTGTAAACTCTAAACGATAGTGCTGTCTGTTATAGTTCATGTATCGTCATTATTTTTTTAAATTGTTTTTGAAGAAATGTTGGATTTGTTAATACGTGAGGCAAAATGTTTAGTCTTATAGTTATCACCATTATGATAATTATCATTATGGTAAAAAAAGGCCTCAGGGTCTGGAAGTAAAGGTGTTTTAAGAAAGTTTTTTAGCTACTTTTAAAGGCCCATAACGGGTTGAATGTTTATCCAGCCCGTGTCTCCTTTTAGATTTCAGCTTGCTTTCTGTTAGTAATAGAACATTTCATCCTCGCACTCCGATTTCATTTGTGTAAACTAAAAGCCATTTTTGCCTCTCTCCTGCTAAGTGGGTCATTGGGACTAATCTCTCAGTCTGCCTCTTGTGTTTTTTGTGTGATTTGAAGCCTCCAGACATTCCATTCATCATTTATCCGCCACACATCTCTTCGCCTCTTCTTGGCTTTCACTCATCTCTCACCTTCTCCTGTATCCCTCACTTTACCTCTTCATCTCTGTATCTTATTTACACTCTCCCCTCCCCCTCCTTTACCTTCCCCTACCTCGTCTCGTCCTTCCTCCATCTTTCTCTCTATCGTCCTGTCCCATAAATAAACCGTGAAAATCCCATCAGACTACGGGAGTGAGAGGGGGTGTCGATAAGTGACGAGCGGCGTATGAATAAGAGATGGCCACCACTTAGTTAATACGGTGTCCTTCACGTTGAAGGAGATCGATGACTGGCTGTCGTCCTCTCTCTCGGTCCACACGTGAGCAGGGAACAAGCAGCGTCTTGTGCGTCTTTGTTGCAGACCTGAAATGGCTGTTGAGTGTTGAAGTGTCGCTCAGTGAGGTCAGTACCGTAGAGTGGGCTTTTGTTCTGGCATAATTTTCCCTCCTCATCTGTTTTGTTTCAGTGGGCATATATTGATCTGGTTGCCATCCTGCTTCCTACCATCCTTCATCTCTTTCTCTTTCCGGTCTTCTTCTTATTCACATGGTTTCTCTTTCTGTGCACCATAAGGAAAGTGGGCGTTATGAAAAAAAAGAGAGCTTTCCTGAGGAAATTAGCCGTCTGTTGTAGACAAATTGATCGATTAACTGAAGTGTCGTGCTTTGCATGCAAGTCTGTCTGCAGTGGCTTACATGATATTGAACAAAAAACAACTGAGGCGATCATGCAACCAATTTTGTACTTGCCAAATTTAAAAGCTGAATATTAAACGTATTATAAATGTATTATA